CACCACAGGATGGCCCAGCTCAGAAGGAGGAACCCCAGGAAGACACGGAGCCCGAATTGCAGTCTCAGTCGGAGGACCTGCCCTACCTGACTACCACAGAGATGTACCTCTGTCGCTGGCATCAGCTGCCTCCATCGCCATGGCGACACCCCTCACCTGTGCATGAGGACACAGTTGCAGGTTGGGAGAAATTTAAGTAATTTCTCTGTTAATGATTTTAATTATATATTAATAATAAGGAAAATTTCAGATTGTCAAATTTATCACCATATATAGTCCCTTCATGGCGGGAGAGCATCTTAGAGCCTTTGGGGCAGAAAGAGGCGTCGGACATCCCTGAGGTTAGTGAGACATGTAAGCACCCCAAGATGCAATACTGCATAAAAAAAAATAAAGGATTCCAGGTTTGTGCTGCTTGTGTGTAGGACTGCAGAGATGTACCTCTGTCGCTGGCATCAGCTGCCTCCATCGCCATGGCGACACCCCTCACCTGTGCATGAGGACACAGTTGCAGGTTGGGAGAAATTTAAGTAATTTCTCTGTTAATGATTTTAATTATATATTAATAATAAGGAAAATTTCAGATTGTCAAATTTATCACCATATATAGTCCCTTCATGGCGGGAGAGCATCTTAGAGCCTTTGGGGCAGAAAGAGGCGTCGGACATCCCTGAGGTTAGTGAGACGTGTAAGCACCCCAAGATGCAATACTGCATAAAAAAAAATAAAGGATTCCAGGTTTGTGCTGCTTGTTTGTAGGACTGCACAATTTGACCAAAAACTGTGCTGGTGGATTATACAACTGTATAATTACAATACTAATATATATGCCTGTCCCAGTTTCTTTTGATAGCTTTTGACAGCAACTGGTTCATAAGTGCTGTTTGAGAAAATGGTTTGTGCACGTTGAGTTCCCAAATCCATTTTATATAATCGACCCAGACACTCTCACTTAGCCATATTGCAATTTTGGTTTTATTTCGATTAATTGTTCAGCCTGTGATGCATTTAAATGCTCATACTTCTGTGCAGTGTCTAGATGATAATGTCTTTCTGAAGAGGCATTCAAAACTTGAGCTGGATGAGAAGAGGAGGAAGAGGTGATGCTTGGTTTTTTGTTCTTCTATATAGCATCCAATAGATTAGAGCATTTGCAAATCTGTCCCTTAATCTCATTTCTCTTTTTCAGGTGGGATATCCAGCGTATTCGAGAGCAGAGGATGTTTCAGCGCCTGCAGCAGAGGATGAACAGAAGGAAGGTCATTCAGGAGAGCGAACCAGAGCTGCTCTCCTTCTATCCAGACCCTGAGGATGGTATGTCAGCATCCTGTATGTTCCTGTATGCCTTAAAAAGTATTTGGTCTGGTCTTTTAAAGTGCTTGTTTCTGTGTCTGTCCTCAGTGGAGTCTATTATGGTGACACCCTTCTTACCAGTGGTGGCTTTTGGACGACCTCTTCCCAGTCTGAAACAGCAGTGAGTTCAATCGAGGTTTTTCATATTGCTAATAATGTCAATCTTGATTTGATTGCAGTACATATGTATTTATTTATTTTTCAATTCAACAGAAACTTTGACCTGCCCTGGCTGGATGAGCGAAGTCGTTGTAGTCGAGCAGAGGTGACCAAGAAACGGACGCCTCATCGGACATGTCGCAAATGAAACTGTCACGAGGAAGCTCATTCGTTCACATGTTGTGGTCTCATCTCTCGTACACGCCTATATTGCACTTTCAGATCTTCAGAAGCAGATTGAAGGGTGAATTTAGGATCTCCCTAAAGTCCAAGTGGTATCTGTGAGAAACTGTGTTTTGCTCTGTAATGTCTGAGAAACAAGCTCTCCCAACAACACACCCATGATCACAGTGCCGAATATAACATTTCAGTGTTCGCGTTTGCGTCATACTTTGCAGGATAGCTTGAGCAGTGTGGACCAAAGCTTCTACCGTAACACATCAAGAGCTGCCGTTAAATATCAAAACTGTACATGCTGTGCTTTTTGGTGTGTGAGTTCTCTCAGTCACATAAAGGGAAAAATGATGAAAACCGGTTACAGAAGCATTGTACATAAGGCTTTGTTCAATGGAAACGTGTAAGATACTTGTAACTAAAGAAATTATTTCAAATATTAAAACAAGTCATATTATGGATATATTGTGCTTCCATGTGTTTTAATGAATACTTGTTTTGAATGCTAAATCACAGAAATCTTCTTGACTTTTATGTTTGGCTAGAAAAAAAGGGTATTGGAATGGGATTCAACTAGGAAACCGGAGTGAGATTAGGAGAGGTGTGACGGGGGTCCTCTTCATTCTTGTAGTTTAAGACCCTTTGTTCTTCAGGCAATAAATGTTTTTACAAGTTAATACGCTCAGCTGCAGTTTCTTGGTTCAAAATGCTGCATCATCAAAAGTATTTGATGCAAACAAATTACATCACTGCAGTCATCAGTTTTAAGAGAATTAGCCTATACTTTGTGTGAGAAATTGAAATTGTTACCACCATGGTACATATAAAAAGCACATACTTTGTGTTGGTAATTTAATGGTCCATTACACAAAGAAGAGGCAAATATACCATAATGCATTTGGTGCTCCAGTTGTATTTCAAAAAACACAATGGCGCCTGTTAAAAAGAGCATGGTACTGTATTTTGTTGTACTTGCCTCAAAAAATAATGGAAAATCAATGCTACTGAAGATTTACTACCACTACCCTGATATCACATGTCAACAGCCCAAATTATGCCAGCACCGTGGTATATTTTGTTACCGTTTTTATTTATTAACCTCAAAAAATTTACTGAATGATTACAGTATTAGTGTACTGTGGTACTCCAAGGTACTCAAAATAATTTCTTAGTAATACCATGGTAGTTTACAATTAACATGATCTCACCTATAAAAAAACAATGAATGAATGATCTCAAAAGTGATGATCCCAAATCACTTTTCCTAAAAGTTTGGGATCAGTAAGATTTTTTAAATGTGTTTTAAAGAAGTCTCTTCTGTTCATCATGGCTGCATTTATTTGACCAAAAATACAGAAAAAACAGTAATTGTGCTGTAAAATATCATTTAATATAATGGTTTTCTATTTTAATATACTTAAAATTTTATTTAATGCATTTTTTTTTTTTACTTTTTATTCATCAAAGAATCCTGAAAAAAGTATCACTGGTTCAAAAAAAAAAATGAAGCAGGAAAACTGTTTCCAACATCGATAAGTCAGCATATCAGAATGTTTTCTGAAGGATGCGCCGTTCACTTGCAGAACGCAAGCTTCTAGAGGGCACATAAGTCTGAAGTAATGTTTTTAAGCAAAGGGGTGCAGAGCCAGTGGTGGTTTTGTAGGCAAACATTAATGCCTTGAATTTTATGCAGGCAGCTATTGGTAGCCAGTGCAAATTGATAAACAGGTGTGACGTGCATTCTTTTTTGGGCTTTAAAAATAATCTTGCTGTAACGGTTTGATAGAACTGGTTAGAAGGCCTGTCAAGAGAGCATTGCAATAGTCCAGCCTGGACAGAACAAGAGCTTGAACAAGGAGTTGTGAAGCATGTTCCGAAAGAAAGGGCCTGACCTTCTTGATGTTGAATAAAGCAAATCTGCAGGACCGGGCAGTTTTAGCAATGTGGTCTGAGAAACTAAACTGATCATCAATCATAACTCCAAGGTTTCTGACTGTTGAAGGAGCTATGGTTGATGTGCCTAATTGGATGGTGAAATTGTGATGGAACTATGGGTTTTTCCAAGAACTAAGCCCTGAGGCACTCCAGTAGTTAGATGTTGCGACTTGGACACCTCATCTCTCCAAGATACCTTGAATGACCTAACTGAGAGGTAAGACTTAAACCACTGGAGTGCGGTTCCTGAGATGCCCTTTGCCAATAGGGTTGACAGGAGGATCTGGTGGTTAACCGTGTCAAAAGCAGCGGACAGATCCAGCAAGATAAGTATTGAAGATTTGGAATCCAGCAAAATTGTTTCACTGCATCAAATCTCAGTAAAAAAAAAAAAATATATATGTTAATTTAGATTTGTTTGTAAAATACTATAAATGTATAATGCCATATTAAAATATAAACAACTTATTTTAAACACAACATTGAATTATTGAAAACTTACACATTTTTGAACGATTACAATTTTTTTTTTATTAGCAAGTAAACTAGTAAAACTGCACATTCTGAACAATTGTAGTTTTAAGCTGTGTAGCCTATTAGTAGTTAGTTAGTAAGTTACACTCTAATAAAAGTCTGTAAAAGTAGGGCACAATCTACTATGTTAATATGAATGAATTGTCCGTAATTATTTTTCACAGGTTTTTTTAAACCTGCATTTTAAATTACACATTGTATTTTGTGTTTTGGGGATACAGGGTTACAACAGATAATGGAAAATGGATAACAAATAATGTCTTGGAAAACTAAAATCTGCTTTGCAACGATTTGTATCGTGAAAAGTGCTATACAAATAAACTTGAATTGAATTACTAGAACCTTTTCCATTTTTCTAGATATTTTTCTTACAGTATACTGATTAACTGATCAACAATTGCAGGTACAAGCTACTCACAAGGTGTTTCATAAATGAACAATTATTCAGTTATTAAATTATTACATTTATAAAAATTGCGAATAACAGCTAACTTAATTCGCGTGATGTGTTTACTGCTAGGCATCTTTGGTTTCCTCTTGTGTAATTTGGATGGGAAATGTGTGCCTTTTATCGTATGAGTCACTTATCAAAATTTGCTAAATGTTGCCAAATAAATTTTAAAAATAGCAAAATTTGTTGCTAGGTGCTTTTGGAAGAAAAAGTAGCCAAGGTAGTCTGAGAAGTTGCTAAATTTGGCAACAAAATTGCTAAATTGACAATACTGGCGCAGGTTGCTAATACGTCACTGAGCTGCTGCACACTCGCGCGCGCCACCTTTGACGCAGCGGAGAACAAGAGGATATGACGAACGCACCAGCCCCCATAATTCCCCGCGCAGATCCGCTCTCCCTTCCTTGAGAGTTAAGATGGCGGACCGGCGGCGACGGAGACGGCGCGCCTCTCAGGATAGTGAGGAGGAGGACGAGTCCGCCTCGGGCTCCGAGAGCGGGAGATCCCTCTCGGCCGGCCGGAAGCCTCGCGGAAGAGATCCCGAGCCGGTTGAATCGCCAGCGGAGCGCGTCGGCGCCAAAATCGGCGATGAGTCGGAGTGTGTGAGTGTGTGGCTATAAATCTGCTTTTATTACCGGGGCCGATCTGAGTGTGTGTGCGCTTGGTAGTGTTTCACACAGGCTAAACACCGATTTGGTGTCACTTAAATACGGGTTAAGATGTGATATACGGTTAGACGTTTCATGTGAGGTGCGTTTTTTGTCTCTAACGTTAGCCCTTGAGATAAATGTTGGAACAGGCGCCTAATTATTTTACAGGGATTTGAAATGTCTTGCCTTTCATCATCTAACCCAGCGGCTCTCCATCAGGGTCCTGGAGGTTCCCCTGTCCTGCACATTTGGATTTTCTCCTCTGTTTTACACCTAACTCATCAGCTCAGTAACGTTAGGCTTCCTAAAGAGCCAGTCTAAACTGAATTGGGTGTGTCAGATTAATGAGACCCCCGAGATGTCTGGATCAATGGTGGACCTCCAGAAACCGGGCTGAGAAACACTGATGCTTTATTGTTATTAGTTCTTGAGTGTAATGATGAGTCTGCATTTGATAAGCAAACCAGATGACATTTGAGGTTCCTAAGTGTTTGATATCTGATCTGTCATACTGACAATGCTGTTCTGCATTGAAAGAGAAAGATCTGCTGACCGTGAAGAGGAAGTTCAGTGTTTTAATCTGGATGCGCCATAGTTATGCATTCACAAGTTTGCTTTTCTTGATTTGTTGTTTCTGATCATTAATTCTTAAACAAGGCTTTTTGTTTATTAAGTGTGCTTGTTTGGCTGGATATTCGATTCTGATCTCTTTCTATTTAGGAAAGTGAAGATGGCGTTGGTGAAGGTGAGCGTATATTTTTATCGCTTTTGTCTTTCTTTGTGACTTCAGTTTTGACATCAAGCTCACTAGTATCTACTTTCAAAAGAGACCCAAATTATGCCTGTCGTCCATCAGGTTTCAAGAACAACTATTTTAGTGCAGATATGTGATTTTAATGTGTTCGATTGTTAACCGGTTAAATAGTTATGAACTGCCACTTTTGATGAAAAAAAAAAAAAAAAAGTTAGTCAAGACAAACTTTGAAGTTGGCTTGAGAAAGCCAAACCTGAAGGTTTGTCACTCTTGATGAGCAGTTCTATAGTCGTATGTTATTTGCTCTCAGAAATGGGAACAGACTTGCTAAAATGGCTGATTTCTTTTCTACAGCAGTCTTATCAGACTATGACAGTGCTGATCTGGAGGAGAATGGATCGCACACGGAGGTGAGTCTCTATGGCAATGCCGTTTATGGGGCTTGTTGGGAAATCAATCAGTTTTGTAAAAGACAATGCTGTGATGAATCCGTACAGATCCAGACTGGGCTGTCAGACTGCCTTGCTGCTGTGTAGAGGGGACAAAATGTCTCCACTGCAGCTGATCTGTGTTTTGCTCAGTCATTGTGAGAGTGCTACCTTTTCTTAATGGAGAATGTAGATTTAAGAGATACATTCGATCTGGACCTGCCTAAGGAATGATTTAGAACTGAATTAGATGAGACTCAGCTGGGGAGATTTCTGTATGAAGGTTTTTGCTGAAATTGTGTCAAGAATATTTTTGCTCCTCTCTCGTGGCATTATGAGTACTGCCAATGCCGAGCCCCATGCTGTTAGTGCATCTGTAGTCCTCATCTAATTTTAGTAGACATTTCGCACCGTCCACAATTTTTGCTGCTCTTCTTCCTTATGCAAGTAGCCTTTTGACGATTGCAGGATGATCGGGTAATTCAGGCATTGCTGGGGTGTATTGCTTGTGAGGTCGTGGCACCTGCGGGGTGGAATTGAACGGGGTTGTTGTAGTTCTCAGCTCATCAGGTTCAGTCTGGCTTGTCTTGGCTGTTGATGTTCCACTAAAGGAAATTTCCTAACGGGAATGCTTCCTAACATTTTAAGTTGGACATGTTTTTGTTTTGTAATGCCATGTATATTTTGTCTTGTTGTGCCGATATGTAAATAGTGAAAATAACCAAATGAGACCAAGAATGTTTTGTTTGTAATAGGCATGGGCCGGTATGAGGTTTTGACGGTATGATAACCTTAAGCAAAAATTTCACGGTATCACAGTATTGTCGTTACAGCTCTTAGGCATGGGCCGGTATGAGATTTTGACGGTATGATAACCTTAAGCAAAAATTTCACGGTATCACAGTATTGTCGTTACAGCTCTAAAATGTGACTCTTTTAAATGACTGGGTAAAAAAAAAATTTTTTTTCCGCTGAACACAATATGTTTTGTTTTTGAGCAACATACAGAATATTAGGAAGAGTAGAATTTGTTTATTTTTTCTTTGATTTGTTTCCTAAAAAGAAGAAAAATAAAGACTGACATCTTTATTTAACCTAAATCTGTAATTACAGTTATTTAATTTTAGTTAAATTCATATACATATCATTTATATCATTTCATATAATTTAGTTATATAATTTCATATAATTTGATTTACTGCGCTGAAACACTGCTTTAATATGAACTAGAGACGAGATTAAAAGAAAAAACACGTAAACTTTTCTGTAGACAGTCAGTTCCCCTCAGAAACACATTCATATAAACCTCCAAATCAATATTTAGGATTTTCTTCCAATAGTTCGTGCATCATGAACAGTGAGTGATCTGCCTGCTGCAGTATTTTTCTCTGTGCGTCCGTCTTCAGCGTCTCTGGCCTGTGTTAACGGGCGTTTACAGACTTCATATTTTCACATAAATGACATTTTGGAAAATGATTGCATTGCAGTTTGTGCAAGTCCAGAACAGAGACGAGCTGCAATAAGACCAAAAACGGCCGGTTGGCGATTGCGTAAGTTCCAGGGGCAGCTCCTTAATTTTGGCCGTCCTACACACACATGACTGACCGCTCGCTTGCACTAACAGGAGGAGGAGGGTCGTATTACCTGAGGGATTCCTACACTTTCAGTCTTTGAGGAGACATGAAAAACAGCGCATACCGCAGGAACGGTATAACGGAAAATATTAGCGGTTTTTAAACCGTGAAATTTTAAAATCGCGGTATACCTTGAAACCGGTAATCGGCCCATGCCTAGTTGTAAAAGATTTGATTTGCTAAATTGATTTAAATTCTTGAAAAAAAATATAATATATACTGTCCACCACTATTCTTAATGTACTGAAATCAGTTGACACCCGTCTTTCTCATATTGCCATTTTACTTTTATATACTATCATTTATTAATGTTTTGAATTGGCTTTCAGTTTTTATTTTCAATTTTGTTTTAGTAGTTTGTGCTTTTTGTCACTTACGTTTAAATTTTTCTATGATGACAGGAAAAAGCTTGCTTTTGTTTATTTTATTATCGAATGTGATGATATTTGGTTATTTTTTGGTGTGTTTGTTAGTGCAATTATACAAATAAGTACTGAGTAATATTAATTACCATGTCTGTTTAGTGTTAGTTGATTGTAGTTATGCGTAATTTACTGTTGTTGCTATAGTAAGTACATGTAACATGTAACAAAGACACTGTAAAATAGTGCTACAATTTTAGAGCTTCAGCCAAGCTGCGTTCCTTTGTGTTTCTAAAATTTGTGTCATGTGCTTTATCGGAATGACGTTTGATGTGATCAGTTATAGTTTGTGTGTTTTCTGACCTGAGAATTTGTTGTTGTTTGATGCTTCTTGTTTCAGGGAGGAGAGGAAGAGGAGGAGGCAGAGCATTTCAGTGATGAAGAGGCCTCACGTCCTGCCGCAGAACCGAAGCCCGCTGCAGATGCCCCGACAGAAGAGCTTGGTGAAGAGGAGGAGAGAGATGGAGGGGACAAGGAAGTTAAAGATGATGAGAAGGGGAATCTAGCTGGGGAGCGCCAGAGTGGGGACGGACAGGTATGGAAGAACAGAACATGGCATTTTTTCCTACTCTAAATTTCTGGCAGGGCCCAGGTTCAGCTTGTGTGGCGGGAATGATATTTAAACATAATTAACATTAAAATAATCCTTTGACGGATTTAAAGCAATTGGCCACAATGCTTTCTGGACTAAGACAATGCTAAATCACACTGCCAGTTGTGTTTTAATTGTAAATCTTTTTTTAGGCCAAAACTGAAGTTGAGACCTCTACATGTTTACAGGAAAGCACCGAGGACCCTGAGAATAAATCGGGCAGCAAAGGCCAGAAGCTGGACGATGATGAGGACAGGAAGAATCCAGCCTACATCCCCCGAAAAGGCCTTTTCTTTGAGCACGACGTGAGAGGCCAGGCTACAGAGGAGGAGAGGTAAGAGACATGAGGGTTTTTCATTCAGGGAAAACTCCCATTCCAACTATAAAATCATATTTTAATTTTAAGTAGTTGAAGATAAGTTTCAGGTGTTGAATCTGACACAAAACCATGTGGTTCATCGTTTCATTTTGCTGTCTCTCTTCCTCCCCCTTTTTCTATTTGTCCATCTGTCATCAGGCCTAAAGGCAGGCACAGGAAGTTGTGGAAGGACGAGGGCCGTTGGAATCACGACAAGTTCCGTGAAGAGGAGCAGGCGCCAAAATCACGCGAAGAGCTAATTGCTTTTTATGGTTATGACATCCGCAACGGCACTGGGTCGAGTGATGGACGATCGTACCGCTCCCGAAAACCCAGGTGAGGCCCATGTTTGTTTCTTTGCAGTCTGGTATCGAGTGCAGTTGGTAAAATATAACTGTTTAGTTGTTGTACTTAAATGCATACACAAAACTATGTACTAGTTAGGGCTGAACGATTTTGGAAAATCTAATTGCGATGTTTTTTGTTTTTTTTACCAATATTGCGATTGGGATTTAATATGCAATTATTTTTTAAAGCTCTTTATAAGCTATAAATCATTGTATAGTATGACCAACACACTATTAGATAAATTAAACATAAATGTTTTTTCTGTAGGCCAGGCCTATATGTTACGATGAAATTAGTTGATGCATGAATTGATATGAATGACATTTTTATTTAACAACTACAATCACAGTACATTGACTGATTTGTTGAACTTCCAACTCCCAAGGTTTTTTCTCCATTCTGTCACCGATGGGCGCGGACGTCTCCATATGCTTTCTCTCGCTGTACTTTGATGTCAAAGGCTACACCGATCGATCTTCAAGTGGAACACACCTCTTTACTCTGGCGTGTCACGTGACCGAGTGTAATCGCAGTCTCTGCGATTGAAAAATCGTGTTTTTTCATATCGCGATATTATCGCAAATGCAATTAATCGTTCAGCCCTAGTACTAGTGATGGATTGACAAATTATCTAGGTTGATAATCAGCTATATTAAGCCATTTTAAAAGTGTTTTGAACTGTTTCCTCTTTCTTGCTTTTCAATAAATAATAAACCATTTCAGTTTCTGTAGTCTGTTAAATTTGATTAAACAGAAAACAATATATAAAGTATATACAAAGTGTATTATGTAACCTAAATTGTAGATGTTTATTATTATTATTATTATTATTATATTTTATATGCATAATTTGTATACACCCTACTATTCCAAAGTTTGGGGTCAGTAAGAAATATTCTTAAAGATTTAATTATTCAATAAGCATTTATTTTCATTTAATATGCATTAAACTGATGTAACGGTAAAGACATTTATACATTTAAAGAGTTCTATTTCAAATGAATACTATTCTTGTGAACTCATTTAATCTGTAATGGTTTCCACAAAATTAGGCAGCACAGCTGTTTTCAACACTGATAATAAGAAATGTTTAAGTACAAATTGAGTAAGCATATACAAATTATTTCTGAAGGATCATGTGACACTGAAGACTCGTGTAATGACAGTATTAAATTACATTGTACTATTTTCACAATGTTATGCTTTCTACTGATTTTGTTTTTGATCAAATCAAGCATATTAGTGAGGATAAAAGACTTTATAAACAATAAAAAACCATTTACTGACCCCAAATGTTTGACCAGCAATGTATCTAAATTTTTATTGATCATACGTCTTTCTAGGTAGTTTTTATTGGCCAAATGCATGATGGGTTGCCCACTAATATCGCCGTTTCTTTGCAGACATGCTGGTTCACCCAGTCGGGAGCCTAGGCGCCATCGTGAAGGTGAAAAGTCAGTGCGTACAACATGGCAGGCGCCTCCACCTGGCCATCGCAACACCTCTCAGTCTGTTACCCTGCAGTCAGGCCCACCTCCTGGTCCCCCTGCAGCACCCAAACCCTCCAGCCGACCCTCGACCCAGCCCCCACATCGCAGCTTCCAAAGTAGTCGAGCCCTGTCGGCCCCCCACAGGACAGAAGGGCAGAGACACTCGAAGCCCAGTCTAGATGGCCCACCACCTCGAGGAGTGCGGCCACATCCTGTAGAGGGTGAGAGGGGCTTGCGGCTCAGGGGCCGTGGTTCACATGCTGTTCACGCTGACCGTAGCCCAGCCACGGTGGTGGAGGACATCCGCAGTGAGGAAGAAGAGGAGGAGGGTGAGATTCCAACAGCGACAACTACATATACCGCTCACCACTACAGGACAGACAGAGAGAGGATTCCGTCACCACGCAAACAAGAGTCTGGCCCAGCGATGAAAGGGGGCAGTGCAGCCAGTCAGGTACGAGAATCGTCTCCTCCTCAAGAAAGGCCGGTGGAAAAGAAATCATACTCTCTTGCACGGAGGGCTACGCGAACGCGACCGTCTGATCTCGCTAAGCAAGCGTCGTTAGATGACTCTTCACCCACGGTCCAGCAAACCCCGGCGGCAGCAAAGAGTGAGTCGTGGCAAGAGCAGAGTGATGCTGGAATGCAAGGTGGACTGACAGGGCTCGACCAGGACCTGGCCCGACTCAGTCTGGCTGGACAGAACTGGGCCCAAAGCCCTCCCTCCTACTTGCAGGCTGAGATGAGAGGTAATGCGTAATCTTTGTGTAATTTGTTTTACAAACTTTTTTTTTTTTTTGAAAGGTTGGTTTATATTTCCTGCATTTTTGTCCCCAACAGGCATCCGTAACTCGATGCACATGGCAGGAGGGCCTCCACAGTATGGAAACATGGAGGATATTGTGAGTCAACCAGGCAATCATTAATTGCTTGTATAGATTAGAAAAATCCCAAAGACTGAATGATAAAAGTGAAAAGTCACCCTAACTATTTTCCAAATGCAAGTTTAGATCTTATTGTGAATGATTTATTCATGTACTGTATTTTCTGAAATTTTTTTATCATCTGAAATGTGCTGTGATTTTATATTCCAAAGCGACTTATATAATACAATTAACGTTAAATAATGTGCTTTTTTTTACAGAGATGAGTTGTGAGTTTATTTGTATAGCACATTTCCCACACGCAGGTAGTTTCAGTTTCACTTAAATTCATTAAGGCCACTATAATTTTTTTCCCCCTAAATACTGTTTAATTTAAAGGATTTAAATTGTGGAGTGAGGGGAACTAAATTGAATGTTTGTAGTGTTTATAATGTTTGTAAATTATTTACAAACGTTATTTATTTCTGAATATAGTAAAATGTGACTTACACTGCGTTTTTTTTCCCCCCTCAATTTATTTGCAACTTATTTTCCGGAAATACAGTATGTAACAACAAATTGATCTCCTAATCATTTAACTGGCTTAAACCTGACCCTGCAAGCTCACATTCATGTGCCTCTGATTTAGAGTGCAGTGCCCACATCTCAAAAGCTAAACAACTGAAGCATCGCCGCCCTGAATTTTTTGCGTTTTTGAAAATGCGTTAAACTTGGATGTACATCACAATGTGGATGAAAAGTTCTGTTGCTACCACAGTTTCATCATGACTTTAACACTAATCTTAAAAGTATTTTCAGTTTAGGAAATGTGTATGAATTTGCTGACCAAAGTTGTAAGCTACAACCTTGTGTTTCAGCTGTTATTTTTTTGTTATCAGGGTGTTGGTGGTGGCCGGGCTAAGCGGTATTCATCACAGCGCCAGAGGCCAGTTCCCGAGCCTGCACCCATGCACATAGGAGTCATGGAGGGCCATTTTTATGAACCCAGTGAGTGCAGTACTGCTTCTGCTTCTTTTAAGTTAAATGGGTCATGGCAATTTGTCCTAAAATCACCTACTGAATAGTTAAACTTTTAGTTAGTCCTTCATTTGAAAACTCAAGAGCTGTTAATTTAGGTAATGTCATTTTTATTTTTGTGGCCGAACATCCAAGATAATAACTTGCATTTCCAAATGCAGTGTCTTTCCAGGGACCAATCTACACACACGGCGACAGTCCAGCGGCCCTGCCCCCTCAAGGCATGCTTGTTCAGCCTGAGATGCACCTGCCACACCCCACCCATCCCGGACACCCAGGTGAGAGTTGTGAACGTTTGCGGACTTCTGGTTGAAGTGGTGGAGTTAATGGCCACATAATCGTAGCTCCCGATAGTCTGTGTTATTTCCCCCCCCTAAAATTCAAATAATAAACTGTTTAAAAATGATATGGGGGTGCAAAAACGAAAAGTCTGAAAACTTTTAGTAATCAAACATAAGGGACTCAAAGTATAATCAAGTTCTTCGCTTGAAAGGGATGGCGATGCGGGGGAAGCTAAGCTAACAGGTGAAGGCGAACAGAATGTGGTTCACGTTAACTCACTTTAAAGGGGTCATATGATGCTGCTAAAAACATTATTTTGTGTATTTGGTGTAATGAAATGTGTTTATGCGGTTTAAGGTTAAAAAAACATTATTTTCCACATACTGTACATTATTGTTTCTCCTCTATGCCCCGCCTTTCTGAAACATGTCGATTTTTACAAAGCTCATCGGTCTGAAAAAGCGAGGTGTGCTCTGATTGGCCAGCTATCCAGTGCGTTGTGATTGGCCGAATACCTCAAGCGTGTGAGGTTAACCTGTTAAATATTTTGTTGCGTTTTGTTTCAGGTTTACACCCGCACCAGTCAGGAGGGCCCTTGCCCAATCCGGCTCTTTACGCCGCCCCACCCGTTTCTATGTCACCTGGGCAACCGCCTCCACAGCAGCTGCTACCCCCACCCTTCTACCCCCCGCCAGGTGTCATGACCTTTGGGAACACCAACTACCCGTACCCTGCCGGAGCTACGCTACCTCCAATGTACCCCAATCCCCAGGTGAGCCCTTTTGACTCTAAATAAGTGTTATCTGTATCCTGTGACACACTTCAGTAGTACAGTAGTGAGTATCACAGGGTTTTTGAGCGTCTGTACATGCTTGACTTCCTTCTGTGCATCTCTCTCTCCAGGCACAGGCACAGGTCTACGGTGGTGTGACGTACTACGACACGGTACAGCAGCAAGCCCAGCCCAAACGCTCCCCGCCCCGACGTTCCTCTCATCCCGTTACAGTCAGACCTCCCCCTCCTGAGGTAAGAGCACATTCAACATTACATCATTCATTACATTCAGCCAGTAGAGATCAGTCAGGTTTTTTGAAAAGTGGGGATTCACCGAATATCAGTACCATATTGGTTACCTGCTGATATTAGAGTTTAATATTGGATATTTAATTATGCATGTTCATTTAAGGGATTGTTGGATGATTGCAAAGGAAATCTCAACATAAAAACAGTTAAGTTAATCTTAAACGGATAGTTCACCCAAAAATAAACCCTGCGGCTCGTGACAATACATTGACAATACATGGCCTCACGCGCCTGCTGTTGAGAACGCGCTCAGGAGGAGGCGCCGCCGCTCAGGATAGTTCGAACAGTTCGAACATTGCGTGAATCAGAGGTAAAAAACGATATAAATACTGTTCAGTTTCTTGCACAGACCGATCGTTTTGTGTCTTTACACATCAATGTATCGTCACGAGCCGCAGGGTTTAATTTGGTTTTGTTTGTGTTTTTTTTTTTTTTACTCTCAAAGCCGATTCCCATTCACCTCCATTATAAGACTGACAGACTGCAACGGTTTGTGTTAAAAATCTTTGTTTGTGTTCTACTGAAGAAACAAAGTCACCTACATCTTGGATGCCCTAGGGGTAAGCAGATAAACAAAATTTTCATTTTTGGGTGAACTATCCCTTTAAATACTAACAGTTTAACACTGTTAAAGTAATCTTTAGCAAATCTCAAAATAAATATCTATTTTCATACTGTGCATTATAATGTTGTGATGTCTAAATTCACTTGTTGCACTTAAAAAATTAATATATATATTTTGGGCAAAATAGTACAGAATTTTATTAATGACCATTTTATCAGTTATCGACCATAACAAAATACTTAAGAGCATTTTGTATCAGCCAATATTTTAATAAATACAGTTTACATATATATTGCTTTTCAAGAGAATATATATATATTTTTTAAATGACCAATTCACATGTTAAGAGATCAGGCATTTAAAGGTGTAGTAGGAGATCTTGGAAAATGCTACATCAGCGGTTCCCAATTCCAGTCCATGTTCCCAAGTGAAGTAAACTTCAACGGATTTCCCCTGCTCAAGGAGTAGGGAGCAATGAACTAACATTAAAAATTCAAATCCAGATTTAGATTTTCAAAGATTTATAATAAAATGTTACAATTTGTTTTCCCAAAATGCAATAAATCCATTGAATCAATATAAAAGTTGTTTTTCATATTGAAACTGTTGAAAATACACAACATAGTAAGTTGATCCACATATGACAGCCTCTGAACTTGGTCAATACTAATCTTATATACAGGCACTGGACTAAAAATACATTCAATCAGTCATCGCTCCCAAAATGAATTCAACGGGTCATCTTGTTAATGCTCGAAGTGAAGTAAACTTCAACGGATTTCCCCTGCTCAAGGAGTAGGGAGCAATGAACTCTGTGTAGGGATCATATCGATCGGAACACAGTTCATGCACGTAACTCACTTCTAACGAGCTAGTTATCTGAATCGGGTGTGTTAACCAAGCGAAACATGCAAAATATGCAGAGCGGGGTTGGGGGGCGAGGACTGGAATTGGGAACCGCTGGGCTACATCATGTGTCATTCACCAGTGACAAAACTTTAAAAGTACTACAATACCAGGAAGGAAGATCAGGTTGTTGATGTTTGTCTGCCATTCTCGCTCTGTCTAAAAGAACCGCTAGATTTAAATCAGCACAGCCAGCGAAGGATCGAACGCAACTGTTTCGAACGAGCGCACTTTTTTTTAACAACCAAAAAGTGGCTGTTTCGTTGTCTGTTGAGGAAGTACAAACGCTCCTCTCGTTGATAGCAGAGGAGCGAATCCAGCGAGAGCTTGACGGGACGACGCGGAATGAAAAAGTTTTTCAGAAGTCGCGGCAGTATAGGCGGCGCAACTAACGACATGTGAATAATCCCGCCCAATGCCGCTCCATCTGAAAGCACGTGATGGAGATTTACTATTCACAGAACCGGCTTTACTGAGATATGCGCATGACAATCACATGCGATTTATCGTGCAGCCCTAAGTTTGTTTATTGATCACAGAGTACAAGTAGATGAGGAAAACTAGGATGCGGGGTGTATTCAAAGCGCCGCCATTACTGTCTAGAGTGCGTGGAATGGTGCGCTGTGATTGGTTGAGCGGATATATCGCATTCTGCAGAGAAGGGAGACTGGCGTTTGTTGCGGTTTGGAAAGAAAGGGAGAAAACATGACAGAATAACTCTAAAATGGACTTTAAAATAAAAAATTGACTTTTCAATACCGACCAGATACAATACTGATTTTGGCGGAAACTCAAATTTTTTTTTTAAAATGGGTTTTATCGTGTTTTGGAACCAAACTCTTCATATATAAATACAGATAAATACGTTTAGACCACTTAACTTAATGATTGCTATCGGGATGTGAAGAGACTTTCAACCAGCATAACAAAAAATGTTTCTGAAGACAATCACCTATTGCACCATTAATAGGAGAAAGGAAAAGCAAGGGCCAAATGCTCAGACAGTTACATAGGCTGTGTTTACACTGGCACGAAAAAAATAAAATTTTTTGCTCACATCTGACACAAATCAGAATCCATTTTTTTTTTTTTTTCGCATCCGATCTGAGCCACTTCCAAATGTGGTTTTGAATCAGATACATATCTGATAGCTGGACATTCAACCTATATCTAAACACACATCCGATTCCTCTCAGTACTCCAAGCCACCACAATGCGAGGTCGACACATTTGCCCATAAAGATAGCGTTTTTCATGCACTCGCTTATTATTGAGGTGGGAACTTTATATATAGTTAAGAAATTGCGCAACATTCAGGAGCTGGTTTTCAACCCCTGTCCCGTGAATTTTATAAATACAACAGCTTCGCTACTAAAAGCTACATTATATTTCTCCGCAATGAGGTGATAACTTGGCTGTTTTTGTAATTAAACCAACAAGCTTCACTAGTAGGCTACCGGCTCGTGCATTCTCTCTCTCTCATTAATTAATTCATAAATAAATATAATCTTACAGCGCTACTTTATTTCACTTCAGAATTCTACCTCTAACAAGCTGTAGATAAAATAACAAATGAAAATTACTATTATTTTCTGGTCTTTATCCGTTCAGTCAGATTTTGTGCTGCAAAACATCCATGACAGCTGTTGTCCATGCTGGCAAATAATTATGGTCACTCAACCACTTGAATTATATACATAATTTTAATAGCCCAGCCATTCAAAAACCATGGATCTACCATGTGCATAGTAAAGCGATCACTGACAGTAATTTGGGGTGGGAATTAATGTAAACACCGATATCACATACCAGTCATGTCCAAAGTGAATGTAAACACAAGACAAAAAATCGAATATGGTCAAAAGATTGGATCAGTCCATTAAGACTTGCAGTGTAAACGCAGCCATATAGAAGAAATTACTAATCCAGGGATCTCCTGGAAGAGCAACCGTCCTGCAGATTTCAGCTCCAACCCCAATTAAACACCTGAACCAGCTAATCAAGGTGATCAGGGCTACTTGATAATTACAGACAGGTGTGTTGGAACTGAAGTATGCAGGATAGTAGCTCTCCAGAAGCAGGGTAGGAGATCCCTGGACTAATCCATTTGTTTTTACCTTTTTAAAAGTATGAAAGAAAGGATTGGCAATATACATGATGTTTATAGAGATTATTAACAGCTGATTTGTGGTTTGACCTTTTCCCATCTGTCAGGACCAGAGCAGAAATCCCGCTGAGGAGATTCGCTCCTAGCTGACAGAGGGCGAGGAGGCCGCGTGTCAGGACCAGCACCGCTTTTGTGTAAATTGAATTCACCATTTAGGTTTAAACTTTAGTTTTTGTTTTCTTTTAATACTGTTTGTGTATTCGTTATGCCTTTTTTAGGTTCACTGTCTTCATGCAAGGTTCTGTTTGCAGGTTGTTCCTATCTGTTTTTTTTTTTTATTCATAACCAGCGAAGTGTTTTACCATTATCTGCTGTTCAGCTAGGAATTAAATGTGCAGTCTTAAACAGCGAGATGTTTTTATTTTTCACTAAGCAGCTCCTGTATCTCTGATGTCTCTACTAACAGACGAGAATTGAAATAGTTTGAGGCTTCTGGACTTTTGAATTGAGTTTGTTTTAAATCTCCTTTTACTCTGTTGGGCAAATAAATGTTTTTATTGAAAAGGAGAAAAGCACTAAGACGAACTTGAGTATGTGAAAAGATGGACCTGCATTTTTTTTAATTTTTTTTATTCTGGACTAACGGTCTCCTGTTTCAAAGGTTAGATGCTTAGAATGGAGCAATGAAGCCAGCAGACGGCTGTCATACATGGTAATCACCTTCAAATGCACAAATCGAAGACCTTTTTGGGTCATATTAAGGCCCTTTTTGCATGCTTTTTTCCCCATTTAAGAGCGCTGTACCTTTCTGACTGCTTAACCTGCCGTGATGGTGCTAGTCCCATTTCAGACTGGGGCTGAACCCCTCAAACCCCGCTGTCCCTTGTATCTTTTGACATTGTGCTGTGTTGAATTCAATACTGTAATTCTATCAAAGCGAACCGTTAACCTTGCTAGATACTGACCTACTTGACAGTGTAACTTGCTTGAGTAGCTTTCTATTGTAAGTGTACATATTAAAGTATATTGAAGCCAGTGGTTTAACGAATAATACTAAGAACTAGTCATTTATGAAATGCTGTCAATATGAACAAAGTCAGCAGGGAAATCTAGCCTATGCCTCTCTTTCATTGTGAATTTAATTTCTATAATTAACTTGCAATTATTCAATGTTTTTCTTTTTATAAATAGTTATGGTTGCAATTGTTTTCTTTCAGGCACACTGTACAGGCATGCATGGTTTTATAGATCTATTTAATTGTGAAAGCAATTCTAGATGGCAACTTCGGCTGTGAGCTGTTATTCTTCGCCCCACTGTGGGAGTGCTATGGATGCATCTTTTTCAATTGTTCCCTTTATGATCGTTTCCGTCGGAAAAAAAATCTAACCGTATAACTGAGATGTTGTCGTTCCCAGCGTTGTTTAGACATGGCTCATAAAGACTATTAGAAGATGTTGTATTACTTTCTATGCCTTAAAGAGTTAATTGGTTTGACATATCTGTTTTTGTTTGATTAGACCTGACAACACTGTGAGGGCTTGTATGATTCATAGTTGTTTGAATAATATTAAAAGCGTTTCATTTTATTTTGAGGAGTAATGTCAGGAGATGAAATTAAACAAGAACTGAATATAACATTTGACTTGTCCTTTTTTTAATATTGTGTGTGTGTGTGTATATATATATATATATATATATATATATACACTGATTGACGTGTATTTAAATATGAATGCTTATTTCCTCTATTTTTACATTTAGATTACCTTCATGGTAATTTAATAATATTGTTAGGATGTCATCTTTAGCTAATTTTATTTTTTTATGCTGTGTATTACAGTGTTATGATGCGTACATTTAATTGTAGCTTTTCAAATGATTTATTAAAGTCATTCATTTCTAAATAGTAAAATTCATTTTTTTTTTCCTTTAACTTTTTAGACAATGATTTTAGACTTTTAATATCAGCCATATTGTCCGTAACAATTATCAATATATAATAATACAAACTTATTTTGTTTTAAGTTTTGTCCCTGTTGCTTCATGGGCTTTGTCTTTTGTTCAGCTCTCCCGTCTGATAAATGTCTCCATTTTGCTTTTTTGACACATTTTTCAAATATGTCTTCATTTTGCAAAGAGATGAAATATGAGCAATATTAGTAGTGGTAAAAAGCATTCTAGTCTGTAAACAGAATGGTCGACCCCAAAATTACACTGCAACCAGTATGAGAGCCATAGTCAGACGTGCTGCAGCCATAATTTTGGTATTCTTGGAGTTTATTTGACATTTAGCTTTGGCTTTATTGTCGTTAACGCGTTTGCAACTCTTATTTAGAGAAATAAAAAAATACAACTTCTGTTCCAGAGGCCATGCATAACGTGCATGCAAATTCAGGCGGCTTAAATTGCTTCTGTTCACCAGTAAACATGCATAGCCGGTCTTTAAAATGCACGAGAAAGACTTCATTATAGATTATTTCAGCAGTAAAATGTGAAACCAAACCAACAGACTTCCGTGACAGGAAAATGAGGTCAGGTTTAACTGTCACTGTCAGTGCTTCAAAATGTCCACTTGGGGGAACTAATGTCTTTATTCTTCACTGCTGCACTGTCACTCTTCTCTTACTGGGACTCCACACTAAAACGTTGATCTCAGCAGTATTCATACCAAACAATAAATATAGCACTAGCTGAATTTTTATATATTTACCCTCTTCAGCTATAATTCAGCTTGATTGATTGATTAACTAATTATATAAATGTTCTCAAATGAGTTGTAAGGTAGTCAAAAATTTGGACCTCTCAATCAGCGTTTAATTGTACATTAAAATTTTAAAATCATTCTGATTGAGTTAATTCAAAATATTAATAAATACTGTACTTTTAATCTAAAGCAGGGGTCTTTAACCCTTTGGTGGACAGAGAGACTGGTTCATATACTGAGTGTTGAATTTGTCGCCTGGCCTATAATAGCATATTACCATATTAATGTACAGTTTATGATGCTTTTGTGAAATCATTAAAATAATCACTATTTAGAGCCATATTATTGCTAATGTTTTGCATTACATTTACATTTTACTTAATACATTTTAATGAAACGTTTAGCTTCTTAACTTAGTTAATATATATATACTTACATTTTTACAAGACATTTTGTTTACTACAAAATTCACATAATTCTGTTTGTGTTATTTCATAGGTTTGATGATTTACTATTATTCTAAGCTGTGGAAAGCAGTAACAAAAGAATGAGAAAGAACTAACAAGTGTGTTTAAACCTTTGACTTGTACTGTACATGTACATGAAGTTAGCAACTTGAAAAGCTTTGTCTTCACTAGAAGACTATAAATAGTCTCAGCTCAGAGTAACCCGTGGCCTTTACCAGAGTGTGAAACTCACTTCTGAGTGCTTCTGTATTCACACTCGGCTTCTTTAGGCTATCAGCTGCCTCACCAAACCAATCTCACTTGCAAAGTGACTCAGTTTGGTGCACCAATTATACTATAAATGATCAAATTAACAAGTGAGGATCCTACTGCTGGAAACAATGGCTGCTGCATTCATCTTCTTGACTACAGCCTACCAAAAAAACACCCTCTTCTGCTTCTTGACTCATCATAATCTGATTATTATGCACAACAGTTGAAAGGAACGGTGAAACTGCTCATAGTCTCACTGACCTACTTATAGAAGTATTAAGTCTAGTGCATTCACTCTTTTGTGAAGCACGTTGCGTAGAGCATACCTACACCATTGTTTACAGGTTCATGTTACAAAACGTGAATTGGTGAGTAACAGTCCTGTGTCACTGCTGAAAGGGTGAAACAGGAAGTTGAGGGTTTTGTATTATTAGATTTCTTATTTCAATCTTAGCTTCCCAGGGCGCATGTATGAATAAAACTTGCTAAGGCAAAATCCTGGGTTATTTTGTTTCACATTTCACACTATTCATACTTTATAGGGTTTACAATTAGTCTTGGGTATTTATAATCTGAAATTTCACACTGCACATTCCTAAACCCTGGTTAATGTTCTTATTTGCATATTTGCAGTGTCATTGATTGGATGAACGCAGCATGCGTCCTGCTTACGTAAAGGCTCTAGCATTGCGCATACTCATATTATTTTGCTGACTGTACTGTCAAGTTTTTTACCTGAATGGACTTTTCTTACTATAAAGGTAAGAATGTATGGAAGGTGGACGAGGCCAAAAGTCTTTAAATGGAACGTGTGAAATCTGACCATGTCAGTGCAGACTATTCGTCTGCATTAATACAACAACATGCACAGCAGCCAATGAAGTTACTGTATTTGAGATTATATTTGCGCATGTGATGTGATAGTACATTGGTATATACGTATACACCACATCAGATGTCATGTTTATTCATGAAGGTTTTCATAATGGTACACTTGTATGCATGTATGCAAACATCAGACATGATGTCAGTCTTATGATTTGTCATGTCATTTAGTTCAACGTTCTTTCTCAGGTAGAAAAGTCTTAATTCTCATCTTAACACAGTAAAACCGTGCGTCTTTACACGTACTAAAGAAACGTGGTGAAAACTGATGCCTTAACAGGGTCAGTATGTGCGTGTCTACACATACAAAAGAAACACATCCAAATTTGCCACGTTAATGCAGACAAACTGTGTGTTGACATGGTCAAATTTCACGCATTCCATTTAAAGACTTTTGGCCCCATCTGCCTTCCATAAGAAAGTAACGGTCTCTTCCTCAATTCAATTGACACCCTTTTCCGTCACCATTTGACCATTTTCCCCTCAAACACGAAAACTACTGTTTATACAACTTGCGGCGTTTCCGTGACTGTCCGACACACGTGAATATGAGGCATACAATTGAGTGTCTGTTGCTAAGCGTCTAGCCATAACATTCTAGCACTGCATCGTTTCACACTGCACAAGTTTGTCCTGCTTCTGAGCGGGGTTTCATATCCCTGGCCCTGGGCAAAAAAGCGGTGCTAACCCTGCTTCTAAATAACAAGTGTGAAACGTCCCTCTACCCTGGGCTAAAAGCGGCTTTAGAATGACGATAGGGTTAAGCGTCGTGTGAAAAGCCATATAGAGACCAAAATATTAAAGAGACTTTGCAGTTTTTTTTACTTTGAGCAGTAACCACCGGAACACCCTAAATATCACCTTAGCAACCACTTAGCAACACCTTGCAATCATTTAGCACAGGAAAGCACAATCCACATTTTCGAACAATCTAAAAATCAAGATTTATACTATTAAAGTAGTTTTTTTAGCCCTCTCCTCTTGTTTATCTAGCCATTCCCACTCTTTCACTGACAGCAACCCACATGCATAAAGCAAGCCCTCTTCCCTCTTCTCCAGCTGACCTCATCTCTCTTCATCTGTTATGTATGGAAACTCTCTTATTCTGTCTCTCTGGAGCAGCAGTGACTTGCACAGACTAGCCAAATGTGGGCCTCAGGTTCTGAAGGGTCCCTTTTTATTTTTTTAAAATTTGTTTTGGCTGGACAATAAGCCTTGATATATTTCCAGTCAGACTGATGCAGTGTTTATAAACAGCACATGAAGGATGCT